TCTACCGGCCCCCTGAAAAATGAAATCGCCCCCTGGGGGGCATTATCGCCCACGTTAAGAACCACTGCTCTACTGAACTGTTCCAGAGGCTTCGGAAACTCTGAGGAATAGTGTGTGTTAAGGGGAGCTCTCCATTATGGGGTTTCAGAAAAAGGGATACAGTAATTGCTGTAAAAATATCCCTTATTTTCTGCCACTGGCATCTTTCATTGGTTCAAAAACCTTTTCGTAGTTCTGTTCACAAAAAGCCCTGTTTGAACCCAAACCAGTATCTGTACCTATATGATGGTTTCAGACCCCTGTTTACAAATGTACTCATGTCTGTTTTTTTTAAAGTGAACTTCATTTAGCAACTACATGGCCTCATCTAACAGAGGGCATAATTGTGGACAATGATGTTTATTCGTAAGTACATTCTTTTTTCTTTGGCTTTTGTAGTCTACATGTCTGAACTGTGTGCTTCAGAATTCTGTGTTATCTGGTAATTCATTCTGGTTTGTTAGGTCCTTGCTTTTTAGTAGAATGACTACAGAGATTCTAGCAGCAGCAGCAGCAGTAGGACTTCTGTGCTGTCGAGTCAGGGTCTGGAGCATTTGCACCTTATGGTGGTGCTCAGGGAAAGATTTGGGGTAGTCCTGAGGTACTGTTCTCCCCATGCCCCAGTATTCTTCCTGCGGGGACTGACCAAGTTCACCCAGTCTTTTGATAGTTCGGGACTTCAACATCCATGACATCATTGCTCCCAAACACCCTCTCTGGTTCAGAGCACAACAAAATTGATGGTAACATTCTTTATACTATTATTTTTTTAGGGACTTGGATCCTGTTCAAGCACCTCAGTGGTCTGTGAGAGTAAGAAAAGCTGATAATCCACAGTGCCTATTGAGTAAGCAACCCTGGATGTATTTATTTGTTTTTGTTTTTAAATTTATTTTGTATGATATATGTTTTAGTTTAAACTGCATATCACAATTTAAAATCTGTATGATCTTTGTGGGAAGATTTTTTGTGAGAATAATCAGCACAACATGGGTGCCCATGTTGTGCATTGCTTTCCATATAGATCCATCCTCTTGACTGTTACAAAAAGCATTGACTTCGGTTCAGAAAATTCCCAAGTGGTCTCCCAAGCAGCCACTGACAAGGCCAAACAACATGGCTGCATAATGTGCTCTCACATGGCCCAGTAGAAATGATGCTCACATGTATTGAAAGTCTTAAATAAAAAGTGATATCTTTCCCATCTTACTTAAATGTACTAGTTGTCTGGAATGTAGATTATACCACAATGAAAAAAATGAATTTCCACAGAAAATTGAAATGCACACAGCTTGTTTTATTGTTGTTGTTTTTCTCCTATTGTAGGTGATTTTGTTACTGAATTTTTCAAACTCTGTCGCCGGAAAGAGTCAACGGATGAGATTCTTGGAAAATCAGCATTTGAAGAAGAGGGGAAAGGTAAAGGTTAATGAAGCTTTTGGGCTTTTTTTTTTAATTTTTAAATTTTTATTATTATATAAGTTACAATCCTCTGACCACATAAAAAAAGAAAAAAGTAGTAATTAATAGTTACACTTCCAATAATTTTCTTATCTATAGTATACTAATAATATTTAAACATTTATATATTTTACTTCTAACTCTACAGTTATTCAAACTAACCAGCATTTCAGCCCATTTTCCATTTGATCTTCTGCACCAGAGGCCAACAAGAAATACCATACTTAGATTTATCTTGTTTTATTTCACCTCTATAGAGTTTAGGTCAGTTTTTCCATCAGAGCCAATCTCCATATTCTGTTTTGAAATCTTATGAAGCTTTCTGTTCGAAAGGCATTTTCCCCCTTGTGCTTATGAAAGCAGCTGAGTGTTTATTCCTGTTGAAGCAAGGGCCATTTGTGAGACGTAATGGAAGCATGTGATTTGCTGTGTTAAAAATATGCTGATGTAAAATAATTTTCCTTTTCAGAGTATTTCTATTCCTTTTCTGCCTTCACATATTCTGTTACAACCTATTTTTCAGCGAAATATTTATGCCAAACTATTTATTATGCTGCTTTCTGTCTCGCTTGATCTGCAATTTGCTCTGCCTTTTAGCAAGTTTGAGCAAGTTGCCTTTTAATTGCCTATATAGTCTTCTGGATTGTATACATCAGCCAGCACATGGCATGCTCAGATTTAGCCAAGTAGCATTGTGGTTTCATTTTTGATCATTGTATCTGTGGCTTCATTCTGTAACACCTTGATATTTACAGATGCTGATATAAGCCATGCTTTGTCAAAACTCACAGAACCGACACCAGTTCATATCCATAAGTTGTCAGTGACAAATATGGTTCACACAGCAAAGAAAAAGATTCGTAAACACCGAGGTATAGATGAGTCTCCATTAAATAATGAAGTGCTCAATGCTATTCTCTTGGTAAGTTACTATGTTGCATTTAATGGTGATGATTTGTATTTGTGTATTTGAATTTGTGTAGTCCTGCAGCCAGAAGTGCATTTGCCCAGTTTCACTGATGTGCCAAGTGTGACATTGAAATTGAATTGCAGCAATGTACTTGGGGAAGGGGGGCTCTAGAGATTTCAGTTTGTGGAAGTTGTTGCAGTGAGTCTGCAGACAGGAGTTCTAATCTTTGCTCTAACATTGATGTTCTGTTGTTTTCCCTGAATTCTAACTTGCTTTGGACCCAATTCTGAGTTATACCTCTTAGCTTCTAAAGATTTAAATTGTGTGAAATGAAGATAAGTAAATGTCTGCATCCTCTCCATGGAGGATGCAGACCCTGTCTTCACTAGAAGCCTCATCATGTGTCTCTCTATTAGTGAGGTGTTAAGAACTAAAACACATCACTGGAGCCTTTCAGTAGCATTACCCAGGATTTGGAACTTGCTGCCAAAATTTCAGTTATATAACTCATCAAGGGCGTTTGAGAAGGGAAATGAAAACAGCTGTCTTTAAGCATGCTTTTTGTGTAGTTGGTCACTGGTTGTTGACTGTTTTGCTGCTCTTGTCACTTATTTTTTTAAAAATTGTTTTATTATGTTTTTTATCATGCAAGCTGGCTTAAGGCTCAGTTTTTTAGAAAATGGAATATAAAAGATTTTAGAAAATACCTGGCCTTCTGGACAGCAGAGCAACTGCCTTCTGAGTATCTTTTAATAGTGCTTCTTTGACAGTGTTGTTGCAAATTTTAGTGTCTGTGAGAAATGACCAGAATGAGAAATACGTTTGAAATCTAATGCTATTAATCTTCCCTTTAAGTATTTATTCCCTGATGCTGCTGATAAATCAGCAGATGGATCTGAAGCCAGAACTAGTGCATCAACAGGAAGTGTTCCACCCTCAGACAGTGAAGACTATGTAAGTTAAACTTCATGTGTGAGAAACATGTACTAAATTTTCATGTCTCAATAACATAAAAACAAAATGCAGAGATCTACTTGGACTTTGAATAGATAGGTATGGTGGCTGCTGGACGTGAGATATTCGTATTCGTTTCCCAGGATAAACTAATATGAATATCAGCCCCAAAGGTACCTGAGCCATTTGGACCCTCCCCGCAGAACCGGCCAGTCCATTTACCATGCATGGCAATCATAGTTCGTGATGTACCAATCATAGAAGAAGGCTGACCGGCGCTTTCCTGCCTCCCTGCACACTCAGGGTAGCTGCTGGACATGAGATATTCGTATTCGTTTCCCAGGATAAACTAATATGAATATCAGCCCCAAAGGTACCTGAGCCATTTGGACCCTCCCCGCAGAACCGGCCAGTCCATTTACCATGCATGGCAATCATAGTTCGTGATGTACCAATCATAGAAGAAGGCTGACCGGCGCTTTCCTGCCTCCCTGCACACTCAGCAGCTGAGCGGAGAGACTTGTCATTTTGTCCCTTTGGCACAGCAGTCAGCTGTGCAGGGAGGTGGGGAAGTGCCAGCCAGACTACTTCCGTGATTGGTGCGCTGTCAATGATGATGACTGTGTGTGCTGTGTGTCTTTCCTTGGGAGACAAATATGAATATCCCATGTCTAGTGGCTGCCATTTTTAATGTAAAAGGATAATTTTTCATATACCTGCTCTTCAATTTGACACACTGCTTGTGTTTTGGAGGAAAAAATAGCCATAAAGACTTTTAAAGATCCTCATATACATAAATATGTGTGCAGGAATCCCATATAAACATCCATGTGCAAACACACCCAGATAAGGAACAAAGCCAATATTAAGGTATCACGATTCCACGTGGACCCTGATTGTTTCATCAACTCATGCTACGTGCCCCTCAGCTGCCATCAGTTGATTTCATCAGCAGTACCTATTATTAATAATAGATGTCCGGACATGTGCAAACATACCCAGATAAGGAACAAAGCCAATGTTAAGGTATCACAATTCCACGTGGCCCCTGATTGTTTCATCAACTCATGCTACGTGCCCCTCAGCTGCCATCAGTTGATTTCATCAGCAATACCTATTATTAATAATAGATGTCCGGACCATAGGTCATTTTAAAAGAACCAAGTAGAAATTATATATTGATACAGGTATTGACAGAACCAGTGATGTTAACTCCTAAATAAACGTTCTTCTTTATCCACCCTGCGATTCCCAGAAGCTCTGGCCAGCACTGCTATTGTTGGAGGCTTCTGGGAATTGCAGTCCAAGAACATGTGAGTTACCTTAGGCTGGAAACCACGGATACAGGATGTCCTCCACTTCATGAAAAAGGAACACTGATATTTACTGTGTAATGTCTGTTTTATGTAGTGAAAAAATGCATCCTTGGAACTGCTAGGAGCAGAGATAGTAAATTGTTTTAGCATGTAGTTTCTTTTAGTACTTTCATAGACTGTGGGAACTAAAAAATTCCCACAATAAACAGTTTTGCAGTGTTGTGTGTTATCAGGTTAGAGGGATTATTTCCTACCTCTGTCCCTCCCAGTACTCCTCCTTTGATTTTATTCCCATTTACACTGGCAGCTTAGGGATAAGCTTTCTTGCAGAGGGTTGCCCTTTCACATTAAGGGACTCCCTCTGAAGCCTCATTCACTAGTGTTCAGGCAAGCGGGAGAGGCAGTCTATCATATATGATGTCTGCCTTGCACTACAGAAGATGTCTCATGGTAAGTGCCAGTGTTCCTTTCTCTCTGGTTAACCCCAGTATTCTATTGAAGATAAACTCATCTGCTTTTGTAAATTGAACAATTTTAAAATGTAGTATTTCTTCACAATACAATTTTCATGCATTTTAATGGTTATTTCCCTCCATCCCTGATGCTTACATGTAGAATCTCTACATTCAGTTCAAATCTGCTCCTTCAGACAGTTTAACATACAAGTTGGCCCTCTGTCTTTGTATGATCAATTTTTACCATGGTGGTGTCAAAGGAGTTGCACATCTCTGGCAGGAATTTGTCTTGGAAATGCGCTTCAGATGGGAGAACAACTTCTTTATTCCAGGGTAAGCCTTCTTACTATCGTTTAGTTGTGGTTAACAGTAAATAATAGAGGTGTGCACCGATTACGTGGTTAGTTTGGGCCCTGATTTGGTGCTTGAGAAAATGGTCCAGTTGGCTCAAATTGACTTAGAGACCATTCAGTTCGACTCTGGTTGAGCCAAACACTACTCAGGATTTGGCAATTTGAAAGTTCATGACTGTAATTGACGATCACTGGAATTTTCTAGAAAAGATGCAATTCTTCCTTGTTTCTCAGAATTACAAGTGTTTGTGTGTGATGTGTTTTTAAAGTTTGATTAAAAACTGGCAATTTAAAAAAATGCTTAATTGAATTCAGAATGTGTCAGGCAGGGAGAGGAAATGAGTGTACTATAGTTGTGATGGTAAGTTGGGAAAGGCATAGGAGGAGGAGGAGGAAAAGGTCTCAAAAGCATATAGATGGGTGCAGAGCATCTTTTCTGTCCCTTGGAGGTGCTTGCTTATGGGTTTCCTGATCCCTCCCACTGAGCAGTACTGCTGCTAAATAGATTACACTAAGATCTTGTGTGCTGGTGACCTGATTGTAACTGAGAGAGTCATTGTGATCTGGCTGGGTGAGTTTGGTGAGTTGATCTAACCCAGCTTTGTCTACCTGGGATTTTCATGCAGCAAGATAAGAATATTTTTGTTCCCAGCAGGATATCTTTCTGACATAGGCTGAAAATTAAGGCCATAACCTGGTCCAGAGACACATACTGAAAGCAATGTTGATGTCTCATTCATTCTGCTACATCCAGCAGCCTCCTTGGCTGAGGTGGTAATGAGCAGAACGATGGAAGACAACAAGAATGTAATCTTGAGAAGTGCAGTACTCATGCCTGAGTACTGCCTGAATTATGTTGGCTTTGGACTTCATGATCTCTTCATCCACCATGAATTTATTTTGGTTTGACCTTGGACTACTTACTACATGGGGTGAACATGCTCTTAACTGGGATGTGGGGAGTAGTGGGATGGGATGTCTTGGAATGCAGTGGGTAGAGATCTAGATATTAGTGGGATTGATTTGAATATACCATGTTGTTATGGTCAGCTTTCAGTCAAACCATGATTCCCCCTCCCACTGCTGTAGGACCAGAGAGCTCATTAAGATGGTTTGCTCCTTAAAATATATTGATTTGATTAATAGATTCTTCTGGGGGAAATTCCAGTAATCCCAGCCTGTGACTCCAGTCAGACTATGAAATGGTGAGACAGGATATGTTACTGACAGATCATCGCTCTCTGCCCAGTCCATCATTGCGGACTGTATCTTGCAACAAGTTCTAGTTCATAATTGCTTTCTTCTATAATAGTGATGCTACCAGTAATGTAAATATAACTTCTTGCCAGGTTAGCCAGTGGTGCTCCGGATCTGAGATGTTGTTTACTGCACCAGAAACTTCAGGTAAATATCAGAAAATAATATAAGAGACAAATTTTTAATTTTTAAAACATTTTAAAATAAAACCTGTTACTTTTTTATTATAAAAATAAAGAGAATTGTAAAATGATTGAATAATTACCCTTTTTTCTTGGATAGCGACTTGAGTAATAGTTGATGTATTGTCTAAATAGTATATATTAAAAGAACAACTATTTTTTCTGGTGTTGTCATTATCTATATCATAATATTAGCTTGAGTCCTAAGGAGATTTTCATGGAATATTTTGAAACACAGGCTTGGATCCAGGTTAGTGTGAGTACAACTCATGCTTCACAATTGTGTTTTCTGGACCCCTATTCCATCTAGGAAGTGATGATGTGGGTAGGCAGAATCACTAGAACTCTAAGCAGGGGGCTTGTCATCTTGTGTGAAAGTAAATCTGGATTTGTATTATCTGTTTTCATACAGCAGCCTAGTGAAAACACTGCCATTGTCTGTTCATGTGTTGTTATTCACAGAATACGTTTTCAATGTGCTCTCATTTCCAGATGTTGAATTGCTGCATTGAAAGGAAAAAAGCAAGAGATGAGGGGAAAAAGGGAAGTAGTTCTGATCGCTCTTCTGGTGACACTGGGAAAACTGACCTGGTGGGTAGAGAATATCCTAAAGAGAGTGATAGAGAAAAAGGAGAGGTAGGAAAATCTTGGGAATCCTGGAGTGACAGTGAAGAAGAGTTTTTTGAATGCCTGAGTGACACTGAAGAGCTTAAAGGAAATGGACAAGAAGGTGGGAAGAAGGGAATTACAAAAGAAAGTAGCAAAGAGACTCTAGCATTAAAGCCAGAAGGTCGTCTTCATCAGCATGGCAACTTGACTTTGCTTCATCCCGGAGATCCTCTCTATGTTCCTATAACACAGGTAAGAGAGTGAGGCTTGGAGGTACTGTATACGTCTGATTGCCTGATACATACTGGCCTGTTTCAGTTCTGTGTAGGAAGTAAAAGGTCCAGATGGTGGTTTTATACAGACAACATTTACTATGGGTAATTACATTTTTCTCTGTCCATGTTTAGGATCTTTTGTTGAGAGTCCCAGATGTATTTGACATTTTATTTCACATTTTCATGACTTGAATATAAGATAATCATCCCTAGACAGAGGTTACAATAATACATATAATGTAGTTCCACCCTACAAGCAAATGTAGATTATTGAGCTTTAGGTTTTCTCACAATGGCAATCAGTCTGCCTCCATTACTGGGGTAGATTGTTTACTCTCAAGCTTTGTGCCTCTTATATCCAAACTGGGCAAACTATGGTTTAATTTATCATTATAAACAAAAATAATGCACTGTGTTTTGCAGTTGTAGATAGACATCAAATTTCTCTTCAAAATCAAGTTGTTGGTGATAGTCATAAAGAATGGCTTTGTTGAGTGTTGCTCACTCTTTAGTTTGTCACAGTGAATGGTACCAACCAAGAAGGGAAATCCCTATGTCAATGCCTTCTCCTTTGTACTTTCCAGGAGCCAGCTCCTATGACTGAAGATCTACTGGAGGAACAGTCTGAAGTATTGGCGAAGCTGGGAACATCAGCAGAAGGAGCCCATCTTCGAGCTCGCATGCAGAGTGCTTGTTTGCTTTCAGATATGGAATCTTTCAAGGTAGGTTCAAGTTTTGAATACAGTGAGCTAGTAGACAAACTTATTAATAGACTAGCATTATTGGCACAGTTGGCAGCATCTTTCAACAGTAGTGTCTCTCAGCCATTGCTTGCTTTCTCTTTTGTTTTGTCTTTTGTTTTTCACTGTGTATACCAGTAGTTAAAATGTTCTTATAGTATTCTGGTTGCTTAATTTTTCTGACTGTTTCATTGATTCACTGTCCGCCATTTATGGAAACTAAGCTATCTTTCTTTCTCCAGTTTTGAATACCAACCCATCTGGAAGTTGGAGTATTTTATTGTAGACAAAGTGTGGTATGATGAATGATGTTAAGTTATAACCGGGAGATTTCTGTTGTTCTGTGTATGCCAATTAGGGCTCGTAGGAGTTGCTGTCCAGCATCTGGAAGTACACAGTTTGGCCATTAATGTTTGAGACATCTCTCTACGTTTTTTACAAATTAAAATCAAAATACAGGGATGACTAACTTCAGGTGTAGCTTTCAGACCAATTGCTACATTAACTTTCTGTACTCTCATCTAAACAATTAAAAATGTGGAAAAAATCTAGAAAACCTGCCAGAGATTAGATCTCCCCATGGAAAATATTTAACAGGAATCTTAATTCATGTATTTTCCGGAGCTGTTTTAGAAATTCGTACCCATAAAAATGGTTTCTTCTGCTGAGTCAAATTCTCTCATTTCAGCCATTTCATACCCAGTCGCCAGTATGCATCTTTTAGAAACTTCAGCTGCTGAACTGCAGTGCCACCTGTGCCTTATCTTGCTAAACAGCTTTTGCTTGGGAAGGATCTGTAGAAGTAAACATGTTTTGTGTTTCTTCCCCTTCCCCTGAATCCTAGGCTGCCAACCCCGGTTGTTGTCTGGAGGATTTTGTGCGATGGTATTCACCCAGAGATTACATTGAAGAGGAAGTAATCGATGAAAAAGGGGAGGTAGTCATCAAGGGAGAACTGAGTGCTCGAATGAAGATTCCAAGCAACATGTGGGTTGAAGCATGGGAGACAGCAAAGCCAGTTCCAGCGAGGAGGCAGCGACGACTCTTTGATGACACACGTGAGGCTGAGAAGGTAACAGGATTTTTAGAAGTTACGTGGACACTGATTTTTACACAGTACATTACTAGTGGCATAATCCACTTGTAAATCTAGCTTGTCTGCTCTGAGGAATATTTTTGGTATTGTTCATAATACTAACAAACCATGCAAGCTCCTTTCAGTGGTGGATTAAGGCATGAATTACATTCTAGAAGTAGAATCCTCCGAGGTGGCATTCATTTTGTTTGTGGAAACATGCCAAAGGTACTTGAAGTAATTTTAGAGACCGGTAACTTTAGAGTTAAGGGCTTTGTGAACTCTTACTCGGCAGTAATTGTAGTAGTTTTTCCTTCCAACCCTGTTTTTTGCCCTTTATTGATTCCAAACAATTTCCCTTCTTTTTTTTTAGTGTTTACCATTTTGTCCTCAAACAGCCCCTCCATCCAGAGACTGTCAAGTCAAAGTGGTTTGTAGTGGTTTTTGTTTGGGCTCTTGCAGTGTCTCTTGATTGATTTAAATAGACAGCTGAACTAGACATTCTTGCTATGGCACTTTCAGTATGGTTTGAATAGTTAGAGTTGAATCATTTTCATATGTGCCAGATTTTGGGCAGAATTATTATTTTCTCTCCATTTAAAGACCGTGAAATATAATGGCAGAAGATACATCATTAGAGCTTATTCTAATAGCGAAGGTATGTGAGTTTTAAAAAAACCAGGAGTTGATTCTGTTTTACACAGTCAAAGTCCCTGTATATTTTTGATAAGGAAATAGTGTGGTGATCTAACCTTTTTACCATGTCTTCAGGTCTTGCACTATTTAGCAGTTCAGAAACCAGCAGATCTTGCAAGGCACCTTTTGCCTTGTGTCATCCATGCAGCTGTACTCAAGGTAAAGGAAGAAGGTAAATAGCACTTGGAGAACAATGCAGTATGGTTGAAATAAAGGGAAAGCTATTACTATAATGCACTTTATTTTTCTTTCCTACCAGAATCGGTGGAAGACATTTCTTCAGTAAAGAAGATAATCAAACAAATAATCACCAACTCCAGTAAAGTTCTACGTTTTCTAAATCCAGAAGACAAAAAACTAGAAGTAAGGTGTCTTTTCCCCTTAATGATATGTTTGGGAAAGATACCTTCAAAGATGTTTGGCAGCATGGAAAACCTTTTCTTTTCCAACACAGGAAATCATTGGTCAGATTATGAGTGTTGAAGCAACGATTGCCCGAACAAGGTCACTGAGAGCAAAATTTGGGGTAGATAAATGTGATCAAGAAGAAGAGCGCAATGATCTTGAAAGGTAAATTATTTTGAAACCTTTTTCTTCTGCAGTTCACCAGAGCCATTTCAGACTTCAGTTTTTCCTGTATCTACTTTCTGAGCACTGTATCTGCTTTCTGAATGTATTGGGTTCTAGACATGTAGTCTTTTTTAAAATCCTAACTCTATTCTGGAGTAAGGAAACATGCCACAAAAATCAGTTTTGCATAACAGGAATAGAAGTGGGCAGATACTGTACATAGTTTTGGACTAGAGCTCCCTCCCTGGGAAGTTCTGCAATTTTGGTCCAAAAACACAAATTGTATACCTCTATTACTTGGGGGCGTGGTGGCACTGCGGGCTAAACCGCAGAAGCCTGTGCTGCAGGGTCAGAAGACCAAGCAGTCGTAAGATCAAATCCACGCAACAGAGTGAGCTCCCGTCGCTTGTCCCAGCTCCTGCCAACCTAGCGATTCGAAAGCATGCAAATGCAAGTAGATAAATAGGGACCACTTTGGTGGGAAGGTAACAGCGTTCCGTGTCTAAGTCGCACTGGTCATGTGACCACAGAAGATTGTCTTCGGACAAAACACTGGCTCTATGGCTTGGAAACGGGGATGAGCACCGCCCCCTAGAGTTGAACACGACTGGACAAAACTTGTCAAGGGGAACCTTTACCTTTACCTTATTACTTGGAGAGGGCATTTTGTATGAGGGAGAGTTGGGATTGCCAGGAAAGTGCAACCACAGATCTGTAGGTAGCAGAACTGAAGAAATTAAACCATTCTGATTACAAAATACTTCCCAGATCTGTAAGTGTACAGAGGTAACAGCGTACATCTTGAACACTTCATGCCTCCAGTATCAGAAGCTTTCAGTTAGTTGCACAGAGCCGAGCAAGCAAAATATGGGAGGATAGATGGTGAACACCTCACATATGACTAGCTCAGCCCTGAGTTAGCCTCTGGATGTTGGTGCCTGTTGAATATCTTTTGTTGGTGATACCAGTATTGAAAAGTGTTTGAAGAAGCAAGCCCTCTTTTGTTTTTGTTTGTTTTTTTATAAGTTGCCTCTTTTGCTGAACCCCCTCCTTTTCTACCCTTTTGTGTTGACAGATTTGTGAATTCTTTTCTGGAACAGCCAGAGGTGTCTGTCATTGGTGCTGGAAGAGGACCTGCTGGTGTTATAATTCGCAAGCTTTTTGTGAATGCACAGAGGGTAAGGAGGACTTTTTATAGCAGGTAGACTTAATTAGTCTTTTTTCAAAGGATAATATTTGAAACTCTGGCTTCGAAATTGTTGTTCTGCAGGTAAGGATACTGTAACTATATTTTCCAGAAAGGTGGTTGTGATTGTCTGCCACAAAAACAAGGAAATCCAGTGACAGCTTAAAAAACGGAAGAAATTTATTACAACATAAGCTTTCATGAGCCAGAGGGCACTTGATCTTACCCTCTATTCATTCTGTAAATACCCACCCATGATTACATATCATGTTCAGTTGAAGGTTTTGTGCATATCCTCAGGCTCCAGTGTCTCAGTAAATTGCAGCTGATAAAATCCTAAAAGACACATTGTTTCAGCAATATTGATGTGGTATAATGCCTTGTTTCCCCGAAAATAAAACCTAACCTGAAAATAAGCCCTAGTATGATTTTTCAGGATGCTTGTAATGCAAGCCCTACCCACAAAATAAGCCCCAGTTAAGTGAAACTCTGCCCTCCACCACTGTGCAGCAACCAGAAGATGACATGACTATATTTAAATAAATGCAGATGGCCGTACATGAAAAAAAAATCCCCTGAAAATAAGCCCTAATGTGTTTTTTGGAGCAAAAATTAATATAAGACCCTGTCTTATTTTTGGGGAAACACGGTAATCTATGCTATGCAGATTCACCATGATCTTGGAGCTGCATAATTGTGAGCGGCAGACCGATGGACTTAAATCCCAGATTTTTTGGTTAATTGAAATAGATGCACACAGTCTATGCAACTGAAGCTACCATTCCATGTTACAAGTGTCAAATGACAATCAGTACCATCTGCACAAAATGACAGACTGGCAGGGCCCTCCCTACCCCAGATAAAGATTTTTAAAGCATCTTTCTTTTTGAACATACTAGTTGTGAGGAGGAGATAGGGAATGAGCCGTCCCCTCAAGAGCCTAGTATAAAGCAAGCAAGGGAAATATTGAAAGCAGAAAGGGAAGTAGAAGCAGAACAGGTGAGAGAACAAGAGGCAGAGGCTCGCGCTGGAAAGAAGAAAGATGACAGACGCGCGGGGGAGTTAGGAGTGATTCGAGGAGGAGAAAGTCACGAGAGGAAGAAATGGTTAATTCCATTAGAGGGAACCAAGACAAGAGATAAGAGAGAGACAGGAGAAGATAGGGAGAGTTTTTCTTACTACCGAAGAAGGTGACAAATCTAAAGAGACAGAGAGTAACCATATTTAAAGAAAATGTAACCGAGAAAACAGATAAAGGCATCCAAGTATTCTCTATACCTAGAAAAAGAACCTCCACCAGTGTGGATGAAGAAAGAGAAGAGATTCTAGCCAAAGACCGAACAAGATCCATAATACCAGGTTCTTCTTTGTGGCCTCTGTGAATGCACACTAATGGGTTAAATCTGCACTTGTGCAGAGGCCTCGGAATATTCTAGAGCTTAAAGTAACACTTTTGGCTCCGCCCCCCAGGACCTCATGATCCGCCCGTCCTAACAGTTACCTCAGTTCCATTTTTTCCGCTGCTGCAGTTAGGTCTCCTAACTAGAGCTCCATGAATTCATTGAACAATTTTTTGAGAACTTCTCTTCTTTGGCTCCGTTTCATCTACAGAATTTAAGGAAAGTAAAATACTTTATTCATGTGAAAACATCGCTGTACCGAACGGGGAAGTTCCAAATGGGCAAAAAACTCACCATTCAGCGATGTTTCCAGGGTCCGGCAGCCATTTTCGTGCCCTCGGTAAGTGAGGGCAGGGCGCGAAAACTCTGTGCGCAGCCATTTTGGAGCCACCGAGCAGCTGATCCGCGGGCATCGCTTTGCGAAGATCGGTAAGCGAAATGCTTACCGATCTTCGCAATGCGAGTTTTGCCCATAGGGGCCATCGGTATGCAATCACATTTGTGATTGCAAATACCTCATCGCTATGCGATTTTGTCGTTCTACGGTGCACTCATTAAGCGAGGCACCACTGTACTAAAAGATATTAATAATGAAAAATCCTTGTTGTGCTTTTGGGAGAGTTCCCCTCCCCAATTATCTTTATGCAGTTCAACTGAGTTAAATAAAGACGAAGTTACTAGTAATGTTAATAAAAGTTTGTTTATTAATAATTCTGACTCATCTTTTGTGTTAGCAGAAGAGGAACAGACAAAGGTGAATAACGAACCTCCTCACACTAGTGAAGAGTACAAAAACAATTCTGCTGCATCGCTGTAGTAGTATTACTCTCCAAGCTTTGTTTTCTTCTGACTCATCTGTTGTGTTAGCAGAAGAGGAACAGCCAAAGGTGAATAACGAACCTCCTCACGCTAGTGAAGAGTACAAAAACAATTTTGCTGCATTGCTATTTAGTTTTTCAGTAGTATTACTCTCCAAGCTTTGTTTTCTTCCCCACGCTGCAATAATATGGATTGTTATTCTGTGCTAACTCAAGTTCTTACAAATGGAGTACCTTTAATTATGTTTAAATTCATTTAATAATTATTTTTTAATACTGTAATTTATTTTGTAAATTTTAAAATCTTAACTGTTTTCTTAAAATTCACATGGTAAGCCCACTTGGGTAGTGTAAAGGAGAGAGCAAGACAGAAAATTAGCAAGCAAGCTTGCATATAGATATGATTCAGGTTAGTAACCTGTGAATCTGCAATGTATATCCTTCTTATGATGTTGACTTAAAAAGCAGTTAGAAGTAACTTAATGTCATCTTTCTCTTAAGAGTTTTGTTTCAGGACTACAAAATAACCAAAACCCTGGGTGGAAAGTGCTGAGGATTTAAGAAGATTTCTTTATCTGTAGCTCTCCCTCACTTTTCAGGGTGGTTGGACTAAATAGCTTTCAGCGTCCCTTTGTTCTGTGTGGGTTTTAATTCGATGCTGTAATGTGCAAGCATAGCTCTACTTGCATTGCTTAGATTGGTTCAGAAACAAACAAATATAGGACTGTTACTTTCCCATGATCAACTATCCAGCCCGAAAGTAGTGATGATGTTGGAACTCTCTACAATCTGAGATACCTTACCATATCCATGCTGTCTTAGTTAAGAACTATTGAGGGTTTTGCCATTTTTGAACTTAAGTGAATATGTTAATTCCATAATGCAAGATGTTAAACTATAAAATGGTGATTTTTTTTCCTTTGTTAAAAGAATTCCATTTCATTTGGAGAAGACTATCACTCTTTAACTGAAAATCTTCTAAATGTCTTCTGTGCGTGAATCCTGAATGTCTTTATCCTTCATTGTGTCTTACATTCTTTCCCATCTTTGTTTCTGTTTTACTATTTGTATCTCACAAAAACTAAGGCGTTGGACAGCACCAGTGTAGGGAAAGAGTAAGATGACATTCACATTCCTCTCCGTTTTTGACAAAAAGAACACTAGTGGGGCAGAGTTGGGTGGTGTGGAGTTGTAAATAGGAAAGCATCCTTCTAAAATAGAGATAAATTAGAGTGAGTTTAAAAATGTCTTCCCAAATGGAGAAACAAACTCCAGAGCAGCAAAGTCTAAGAAAAATATGACAGAAACCTATCAGATTGCTGGAGCCACTTATTCAGCTTTAGCTCCTATCAAAATTGCCCCGTTGTTAACTTTTCTTTTTTAACAATGTATTGGCTATTCTTAAACTTGTTTCTTGTGCAACCCACTATCAAAACAATCCACTGAGTTAGTTTTTAAATATAAGCCATGGAATGTACTCTTTCCCACCTCACATTTCTGGTTGTAGTGGCAGAATACGATTCACCTGTCTTGCCCTTGATATAAATCTGGAGTGGCAGCTCTGTAATTAAATCTTCATCAAAATGGAAAAAATTGCAGTACTTGACAAAGCACCTATTATGGATCAATTTGCTCCCTTCAGGGCAGTTGTTTTATGAAATGATTATAGGAGTTGATGCAGATTGTAGCTCATTTACATGTATAAAGGTCTGGCCTGTATTAAACTGAATCAAATGAAATTTTGCTAGTACAAAATCACACATTTATATTGCATCAAGTAGCAATGTCTAATGTTTTACTATCTGACATAGCAGCTTATGGAATGCATGCATTCGTTTAAGAATTCTTTGCTGTTGACTCGGAAGCTGAGGACTTGAGAATATTTTTAAGGGTTGTGTGGAAATCCAAGGAATAGCAGGGCATTGAAGAAGAAGAGAGGAAGACTATTCAAGTGGAATGAGGTCAGGTGAAAGTCTAAAAAGGGACAGGATTGCATGTGGCTGTTGGCTCACATTCACAAGAGTTTAAAAGTAGCCTACCAAATATGTAGCTATATTTCTCTAGCATTAAAAACTTTTGGGTGCATCATAAGTCCAAAATGCTGCTTACACATACAGGCAGCATTTCTGCTTATGCACAAGTGTAGGGTTAACAGTACTTCTAGCCAGGCTAATGCTTCCTGTGACTATGTAGTCATCTGTGTGCATGTGTGTGTCTGTGTCATGGGATATGTTGTAAAGGTCCAAGTACCTATAGTGGGGGAGTCCTAAAGTGTACAGGTTTCTCAGAAATGCCTTGTTTCCTGACATTGTGTGTATGTGTACAGGAAAATTGTACACAAATTTAGTGGACTAGAAAGCATGCGTCACAGAAAATTATCAGGAAAATTACACAAATTTAGTGGACTAGAAAGCATGCATTATTGTCATATTGGTGAAAGCATGTGCTACTGCAGTGGTTCACAACCTTGGGTAACCCAGATGTTCTTGGACTGCAAGTCCCAGAAAGCCCAGCCAGCACAACAAGTGGTGGAGACTTCTGGGAGTTGCAGTCCAGGAACATCTGGGTTATCCAAAGTTGGGAATCACTGGTGGTAGAGACTTCTGGGAGTTGCAGTCCAGGAACATCTGAGTTATCCAAAGTTGGGAATCACTGTGCTACTGAATGAAGACATGATAATCATTTGCATACATTGAGGTTATGAAGTGAAGCCCATGTGATGCAGGCAAGTGAAGTAGAAAAGAGGGTCAGGAAAGGCCACTTGCATAGACTGTCATCCACTTGTGGCCAACCATCATGGCTGATACTTTAAATAAGCGTGGAATAATATTTATGTATATCCTATCCTTCCCTTCCAGTAACTGGAAGTGGCATCATACAGTTTTCCCCACACTACCTTCTACCTGTACAAAAATATCATGAATTATATTGAGCTGAGAGAATAATTGGTGTAAAGTGACTAGCAAACTTCTTGAGCCGATTATGATTTGAACCTAATCCACCTAGGCTGATACTCTGGTGAAGACTACCCTTTTAAGGGGCCTGACAGTTCAAGACTACGATAGTTTTTCATGCCAGAGCAGAAATCTCTGTTAAAATGTATCATTCTGTAGGAAATAAATCAACATTCATTTCTACATTGATGGTAATAAAGTATCTCCTGCCTTGGTGACTTTGCAACTAATTATAATGAAGGCAAAAAAATTATCCTTTCTAGGAAAATACTTTTGTATAACAAAAAAATTGGTAATAGTTGCTGATAAAGACACCATCCTTGGGAATACATGTGAGTGATTTCTATGGGTGCATTAGACAGCAAACAGAATCCTGGATTTTCTTTATGTCTCAGATCACCTGCCATCAGATGACTGCATAAAATGGAAGATGGTATTTGTTTTTGTTTAAAGCCTTTTGACTCAAACCCTTAAGGATGACTGCATATATCAATGAATCTTATACAGGCATTGCTTCTGGCCCTTGTTAATTTCAACATCAATTGTAGAACTATTTCAGAAGAGTACCCTGTTTCTCCAAAAGTAAGACAGGGTCATTTAAATTTTTGCTCCAAAAATGCATTAGGGCTTATTTTCAAGGGATGTTTTATTTTTTTTATGTACAACAATGTACAACAGTTTATTCAAATACAGTCATGTTGTCTTCTTGTTGCTGCACAGTGGTGGAGGGTGGGGTTTCACTTAACTGGGGCATATTTTTGGGGTAGGACTATATTACGAGCATCCTGAAAAATCATACTAGGGCTTATTTTCAGGCTAGGTCTTATTTTGTATGTGTATGTGTATATACTTACAATGACAATAAATTATTATTATTATTATTTTAGAGGAAACGGTATGTATTACAATGAATACTGCAGTTGAAATAAATGAGGCAGCTGCCACATTCAAATGAGGGTTCCTGTGTCTATCTGTTGCTAGCACTGGACATCCATAGCAGGTTACATTTACTTGATGAATAAAGAAAAAAATTATAGGTTTCTAGTAAGCTATTTTAATCTTGTCCTCTGTACAAATTGTCTATTGGTGTTTTGCCATCTGCTTGTGTGTTTTCAGTGTTTATCATCATTCCACTTAATAGCAATATACATCTGAATACAAAGGCATGCTGACTTTTAAAGCAGATAGTTCTAAAACCTCTTTAACCCCGCGTGAGTCATCGCTGACTTGCCTTTCTTTCTATCTTTTATTACTGATTCTCTTCCTTATCCAGCTGACTGAATCTTCTGAGGAGGTAACTAGATTTTTCCCTAATATTCTAGTCATCTGCCTAACATCACATAGTTGCTTAGCAGTGAATGCTGTAGCAGCATAGTATAATGGCTTGAGTATTACTGATCATTTACATAGTCCAACCATACGGATTGCTTCATCTTTCCAGCTTCCAGCAAGGCTTTATGAAGTCACAGTGGTTTATGGAAAAATGTGTGACTGAAAAATTGCAGATTCAATTGTTGGAATTAAAAAACAGCAAATGTGAGAAACATTTTGAAGTTTAAGAAGTTCACAGATAATTGTCTTGCTTGGAAATAGTTATCTGTGGCTTCTTAGGGATCTGACTTTGGGTCTTGGTGACCAGTGTGATCAAGCATAATGTAAAGAAATCCACAACTACAAACTCTTAAAACTCACGAAAGTATTTGTCCCCATTACTTGCAGAGCACAGTTCCTTTTTGGCTATGCTTGTGTGTGATTGTAGAAGCAGATTTACTGTGAATAGTTGCCTAAGACTGACCTTTAGAAGTAAAATATTCCTAACCTTTTGAAAGAAATTTAAATTGTTAGGTAGACCTTCTTTTAGGAAAAAAGGCAGAGGGAATTTATTTTGATTATGGTGCACACAACAGCCATCTGTTAGATATATTCTGACTTTGATTCCAGCATTTAGAAGGTGATTAGACTCAATGGCCTTAAAGGGCCTCCTTTTCAACTTCATTACTCTGGGATTCTATAACAGTTTTTAACTTGTTGGAGCCATAGTACTGATAATTTGAAACTCGGAGTCATAGTTCAGTGCAGAACACATGTTCTGCTGCAGAAGGGCCCAATTCAAAATTATACATCCATTTAGAAATCTTGTGTAATTAGGATCCCTGCCTCGTATTTGGACCATATGGACTTAAGGTCCACTTGCCAGAAGGTCGTATCCAGTGTTTAAACTCGTATATCAAGTTTTGATTAATGTTAATTTCCTTGATACATGCCAGAACATTACAGAACTCGAAACTCTTATAGTCTAATGTTTGACATTCTAGAACAGGGGTCTAAAACATGTGGCCCCGGGGCCATTTGCGGCCCGCTGGATGATAGTTTGTGGCCGCCACCTTGCCTCCCCCCGCAAAGCACCCACGTGTCCTCTGCTGTCAAGAGTAAAAAAAAAGCCTTGCCTCCCAAGACAGCATCTCTTGCACTCTCTATCCAGAACTGCAGCCTGCCAGCCGGCCTGCCTGTTGTGGTGCTGCTGCTGTGTGCCTTTTTTTTGAGGGGGGACCCTTAGAGGAAGGTTGCTGGACCTGTGTGTGTGTGTGCACGTGCACCCCTCCTCCTCAGAGCCCAGCCAGGCTAAGGAAACTCCTGGGTGGCTTCCTTGGGCTCTTGCTCTGCTTGGCGGAAAATCTGATGTGGCCCAGCCTCACCCAGACTCTGCCTCCAGCGGCCCCAAGGTAAATTAAGTTTGAGACCCCTGTTCTAGAATACTGTATATAAAACATGTTCATTTTATTGTTACAAAGACCAATCCAAGCCTGCTTCTGTACTTCATTGATAGTCTGTGGTGCCCAGTATTTAATGCCTCTAAGCTAGCACTAGCCTGTCTTGCAGAAGGACAGTACACTTCCGCATAAAGTATTTGCTTGAACACCAACACTTAAAAACATAGTGAACGTGTGCTTTTTCTGTCATGCTCATTTCTTCTTCTTGCATATATGTGTGCAGGGCTGCTTCTAAACATCCAAACCTTGTTTATGTATGTAGTCCTTGTTTTATCCCCTACAGTTCTTCTAAAAAACATTTATGAAGGGAAAATGTCTTAGTGTTGTGTATTTTTCTATTTTTAATAGGTTGTGGCAATGATGCCCCTTGACGATGAACTAAAAAGATCTGGCTCCATGGATGAGAAACGATTGAATTCTGGGGTGGTCACAGATTTCCCACCTCCTGCTGGACGAGAAGTTATTTTACGTACGACCATCCCACGGCCTGCCCCTTACTCTAAAGCTCTCCCTCAGCGGATGTACAGTGTCCTTACAAAAGAGGATTTCCGACTTGCTGGTGCCTTCTCATCTGATACAACATTCTTCTGATACCACCATTTAGTCTAATGCTCTTGCATTTTGTGGAGTGGAATAGTATTTTACCATGGAAGTTTATGTACCCTGTAGGATATTGCTCTGTCCAGTTCCCTAAGATTGAAAACAATCATTTATAAATTAATGCTCAATTCTCACAAGATCAACATCTATGCCAAACAGATTTCTCATATCAGAATTTTAGCACAATCTTTCCTACCCAGATTGCATACCTGAGGAAGTTGTCTAGCTATTGCATTTAGAGGGCTTTTGTGGGATGTTGGCAAACAGGATCACTTGTCGTCAGGTACCAAGCCATTCCTGTTTCTCCTGCCAGTCTGCCCACAGTGATAATGGACATATTGGAGAACTGTATATTATTTACGAAGTGCAAAAGCTAGATATGGTGATACTTGTAGAATTCCATAGCCTTGTCTAGATGTTTGCTTTGTTCAGTTTTATGGCCAGCTAAATGAACATTGTGTAATACTACCCTAAATGGGTTTCAAACTATTTAAAATCCCTTAAATATTAGGCTACATAAAATGCAGCTCGTTTGTGGAATTGGTTTGCTTTGTTACTTTACTAAAAATTGGGCCAAAATGTACTTGTTCTGCATCATATAGTATCTAGAAAACAAAAAAGAATATGTGGTTCACTGTAACATTGCCACAACATACAACCAATATTCATAACATGGGATGAACTGTATTAAAACCTTATGGACCACTGGCTTTGAACTCTAAATACTTTAATTTTGTTTATATGTGTACTGAAAGAAAAGTAAAGGAGTATTTTAATTGATTTCCTTTAATTGCTATATTCTTGTAAAGGAGTAATGTTTGTTCCATGCTTAAGCCTGTACTGTACTTTGCTGGGGAAGACAAAAAAACAAACAAAATATTGCAGCACTTTAAAGATTAACGTAATTATTTTATTGTGAACTTTTGTGGCTCAAAATCAGGTTCTCCACGCACAAGGAGTGCTTGTCCTCGCTATATAGTTACAGTGTGGTCAGTATGGTCTTCTTTTTCTCTTTGAAGTCTTTATGCCACAACAAACAGATGAGGGGCAGCTTGAAACATAAAATATTTTCAATAAGCAGGGAGACAATATACAGCCTTGTCGTACTCCTTTCCCAGTTTTGAACCAATCATTTGTTCCATATCCAGTTCTAACTGTTGCTTCCTGTATCACGTATAGGTTTCTCAGGAGATAGATACGGTGCTCAGGTACTGCCATTTCTTTAAGGACTTGCCATAGGTGGCTGTAGTCCACACAGTCAAAGGCTTTTGCATAGTCAGTGAAGCAGAAGATGTTTTTCTGGAGCTCTCTGGCTTTCACCATAATCCTGCGCATGTTAGCAATTTGGTCTCTAGTTCCTCTGCCCCTTCAAAATCCAGCTTGTACTTCTGGGAGTTCTCGGTCCACATACTGCTGAAGCCTACCTTGCAGGATTTTTAGCATAACCTTGCTAGCTTGTGAAATGAGTGCAACTGTATGGTAGTTGGAGCATTTTTTGGCACTGCCTTTCTTTAGGACTGGGATGTAGACTGATCTTTTCCAATCCTCTGGCCACTGCTGCATTTTCCAAACTTGCTGCCATATTGAGTGTACCGCCTTAACAGCGTCATCTTTTAAGATTTTAGATAGTTCAACTGGAATGCCATCATCTGCATTGGACTTGTTAGACAAGCTTTCTAAGGCCCACTTGACTTCACTCTCCAG